TATTATATATTTAAAAGAATTTTTTTTTTCAAATACTTTCAATCCACATTAGGTTGAATCCCCAGATGTGGAATCTGTGAGTAGGAAAGGTGATGGTACAGGTTAAAAGTTTTCCTAATTATTATTTTTTTAAGTTTACTGTAGTATGGATGTGCTTACTAGAGAGCAACAGGGAGAGAGAGAAAGTGAGAAAACGTCTCCTAGGATGGGTGACCATTTAGCAGTCCCTTCTCCTCTACTCTCCTCTTGGGATATTGGGCAAACATATATGCGTTCCTGGCATGTTTTTCAACCCACTGGGTCCAGAACTCAAACTGCACAGTTAGCCAGGTGGGATCCAGCTGCCTTGACTGTCAGACTCCCTGGCTGCCTTTCCCCCTTTCCCATTCTTTTAAGGCCTTATTTTAACTGAATGTATTCTTTAGAGTTTATGAATAGAAAGTAAATTAAAAGATGGTGTGTTTTTCTAGGTAGACAATTTAAACATTTCTTACAGCCTATGATTTTGTACTGTTGAAAACTAGAAGCTATTCAGCTCATAATAGGATTTGAACAAAGCAGGACCTAACGCAAGGATCTTGAGAGACACAGGTTCAAAGCCTGACTCTGGTTCTTTCTTTTTTTTTTTTTAACTACCTGTTTTCTTAACTACTAAAGTATATTTTATACATCATAAGATTCATTCACTTCAAATATCTGATTTTAAAGTAAATTTGTAAGTAAATTAGCCAAGTTGTATAGACATCACCATTAATTAGTTGTAGAACATTTTCATCCCCTCAGTAAGATCCCTCATGCACATTTAACTCATATCCCTATCCCCAGAAACCACTAATCTACTTTCTATTTCTAGAGATTTGTCATTGTAGACTTTTTATATAAATAGAATCATATAGTCCAGATTTGCCATTCTAGACTTTTTATATAAATAGAATCATATAGTCCATCTGACTTTTTTCATCATGAATAAAATTTTTGAGGTTTGTCCATGTTTTAGTATATATCTGTAGTTCATTCCTTTCCATTGTTGAATTTATGTTTTGTCTTTCTATTCATTGGGTGATAGGCATTTAGATTGTTTCCAGTTTGGGGCTATTATGAGTAATGCTGCTAAGGGAATTTGTATGCAAGTTTGTGGGCATATTGTCATTTTTCTTAGCTGTATGCTAAGGAGTGAAATTGCTAGGTCATATGGTAAGTTTATGTTGAAAAATTTTAAGATTCTGCCCAACTGCTTTCTAATGTGGGTGTACCAGTTATTATGAGGGTTTTCCTATTTCTCCACATTCTCCTAATCCTGCCTCTTAGTAACTGTTCAGATTTGGGCAAACTTTAATTTCCTTTTCTTTTTTTGAGAGATTGTTGCTGTAGGACAGGTGAGCTCATGGGAGACTCAGAGAGAGGGAAAAGTGAAAAATCATATCCCAGGGGGATGGGCACTACACAATCCCTGCTCCTCCATTCTCCTCTTGGGATTTTGGGCATACATGCACACTCTCCCAGCGTGAGTTTCAAGCTGCCTGGTCTAGGACTCAAACCTTAGTTGGCCACTTGGGAGTCCAGTGCTTTAACCACCATGCTACCTGCTGGCCCTTTCAGTTTCCTTTTTATTAATGTAGGTGGGAAGTTGGTGTTTACCAAGTGCCCATTTTGTGGTAAACATTGTGGTAGAAGCACTCCCGTGCTTTCTCTCGGTTCACTGTTATCACTGTGAAATGTAGACATTTTGTGATGCATTTACGGAGGTTCAGACAAGTTATGTAAATTAGTTATGACTGTTTTGCAGGATTGTGAATACTAAACTATGTCAGATAACTTACAGATATGCCTAAGTCTTAGGTGTATGGAAGGTGGTTAATGAAAAGATCTTTATTTCTCTGCTTTTTCCTGTCATTTGCATCTCAAGTAAGTCTAACTGCAAAGCCCTACCTACCCTCTTCAGATCCCACCACTTTTTTGGTGGTCTTTGCCTGCTATGAAACTGTCAAATTTTGGAGAAACTGCAAAACTTTCATAGAATTTGCTCTACTCACAATCACTCTAGTGGCAGAGATGTCACAGTGCCAGTCTGTAACTCACATAGCACGATCTTCGTTGCTTCAAATAATGAAAGCAACTAGTTCAGGATGTGGTTACATCTCGCATAGTTGCTTTTGATTCTCAGCTCTTCTTTCATCCTCTATTCATAATAGTGCTAATTATTTTTCCAAATTTTAGAAAAAGCAGTCCTGAAAAAAGAATATACTGGGCCAGTAGGTGGCATAGAAATTAAAGTAGCTGGATCCCAAAGGCTTGCTGGCAGCTTGGAAAACATGTTGAGCACATGTGCATGCATGCCCAATATCCTGAGAGGAGAATGGAGGTGAAGGGGTTTCCATCCTTCCTAGAGAGTGATTTCTCACTTTTCCACCCCACCCCCCATTTCTCTAAGGCAAGTGCACATGCAAAACTATATATGTAAATAAATGTTGCCAAGAGGTTAATTAACCTGATTAATTTAAAATGAACCTTTATTAGTTGTTTGAAGATTGCATAAGTAGTAATAAAAACACAAAGGGAGATAACACACAGTATCAATATAGGAAAAGAACCTAGGAGAAAAGGATTCAAATAATAGCTTAGCCAAATTAAGGGGCTTTTGATCTTTATTTTTTTTATTTAAATTTATTTGTTTACATTCATTCACTGTACATCTTCACAGCATACAAAATGAGATTTTCCATCTAGAGTACACTGTATATTGTCTCAATCAAGCACATCAACATACATGTTATTGTCAACAAATAATTTTCCACTTCTTGTTTCCTGTATGTTTTGCTTTTTTCCCCCCATCCTTGATTCCCTATCTCTTACCCTCTGCCATCTCCCACTCTCTTCCCACACTGTCTCTAGTATCTATGTTTACTTTCTATACTGTTCCCCCCCATTTTTTATTGGATTACTAAATATCTTAATTAATCTAAATATTTTCATAGCAAACACAGCTGATATATACATTTTCATGAACACAAGTCTAACTTTAGGCATCCTATAAAGTAGTACCTAGCTGGGGCCTTTCCCTAAGCATCATCACAGCATACAAAATATGATTTCCCATCCAGAATATACTGCATAGTGACTTAATCATGCATATTATTATCCAAAATTTTCCATTTATAGTTCCTAGAAATTTTACCCCTCCTTCCTGACCCTCTATCCTTTCCCACCCTCTTCTCCCACTGTCTCTGGTGTCTACAACTGTCTTCTATTCATTTCCCACCCACATTTCTTAAATATTCTAGCTACTTTCAATGGTAAGTTCATATGGTACTATTAAGAAAATCAGTCTTAACTTAAATCATAGAAATGATAAGGAACTTTTCTTAAAGCCAGGAAACATTTTAGGATTCTGTTCAAATGGTAGGTGCATGAACTTATCAATCTCATGTACTTTATCTTCTGTTCTGGTTCCATTTTTCCTATTAAATTCTGGGATATAATATTCAACTCCAGACTTGTCCCTA